GTTAGTTTCCCCCAGAGCACTCACTGAAACACACCATGGGATTTACCAAGAGGAACCGAGAGAAAGGCCAGACCTGTAAATAGTAGGCAAGAGAGGGTGTGAGAAAAAAAAAAATCTTGGTTTGCTTGCAAGGACTGGGTTATGTCTGTTATGATGTCAAGTGTCCTGCTTTGGATGATAACTGTGTAGGGTTCAGTGACACGCCACACAGCCTAGCTTGACCATAGAGCCACAAGAGGGAGAGGTGTGCCAATGAAGACCTGAGATGGAGGAGGTACTCAGAGACCTTGGGGGCCAGATAAGTTTAAAGTCCCAGACGTGACCAGAGCATCACTTGAGTGGCGTTTATGGGAGATTGACACTGTCTGGATTTCTCAAGATGATGAACAGGGCCAGGATGAAGGAAAGCCACAAAGGGGATTTAGGAAAGCCTCTGACAGACCTAGGAGAGGGCAGAGGCCAGCCTGGCACTCAGAACTAATGTGCTTCACCTTCCCAAACCAAAGCTGTCTGTGCCCTGCTCTGGAATGAGTGAAGAGAATGCTTTGCCTCTGGAGCGGCTCACGTTTCTGAGAGATGGGTTTTATTTGCCATTTCATGGTTGAGGACACAGGCCCAGAGGTGTTTCTTAACTTGTCAGTTCCCCACAAATAATGGCTAGAAAGAGGAAGCTCCAACTTAAACTCGGTCCACTTCCAAGCCCACACTGTTGATCAGTGTATTAGTTTGAGTCTCCAACGTGCAGCCCACAATTGCATGTGTGTGTGTGTGCGTGTGTGCGTGCATGTGCGCGAGCACTTATGTATGTCGTTGCATAGTACTGTATAGACAGAACATATTCCGTGCTAGGCACTACTCCACATGTTTCATGTTTAACCCTTCAACAGCCCTACCGTGTAGTACAGCCTTTCAAATCGGCTAGTTCTAGGGGAGCCGAAGCAAGGAGTGAAGGACTCTTCAGACCATCCAGCTTCAGAACCCACTCTTGTAACAACTGAGGTTGACAGCTTCTTGGCTCATCAATGAAAATACGTGCATGTTTGTAAACACCATGCTTTTAGTTACTTCTCATGAATTCTTTTGCTCATAAAGTTCAGAATGCTTTTCAAGTTCTGGAATTAACTCCGTGTGTGCGTGTTGCCTTGTGGGTCACTAAAGAGGTGAGGTCCTGCAGAAGTCCTGTTATGTGCCAAGGCAACCTCGAAAACGGAGACCTAATGCAAAGTAGTCTACTGTGCAGCCAAATATCTGAAGAGTTGCTGGAGAGAAGAAAGAACGCTGGGACTATAGGCAACTGGAATAGAAGCAAAAACAACTGGCAGTTGGGGCTGGGGAGATGACTCAGCAGTTAGAGACCGGCTGCTCTTCCAGAGGACCTGGGTTCAGTTCCCAGCACCTACATGGCGGTTCACAACGATTTCCAACTCCAGTTCCAGGAGATGGGAAGCCTTCTTCTGGACTCTGTGGGCATGGCATGTGTATGATGCACAGATAGACATACATGCGAGCAAAACATGCTTGCACATAAAATAATAAATCTTACATAGTTTATAAATATATAATAGGTTTTTTATATCGCTTTTTTAAAAAAAGGAAGAAAAGACGGAATGAGAGAAAGCTATAAGGAATGATAGAAAGTTACAAGAGTGTGCAACCAGATGGAACATTTCCTGGCGTTCTTTCTTTCCCCTAGGAATTCATTTTCTTGCTTGTGTATGTGGGTGTTTGAATGTGTGTAGACACACGTATGTGTGTATTCACGTACACGTGTCATTCATGTTGAGGCTCAAAGTCTACATCACTTGCCTTCCTCCCTTACTCTTCCACTTTCACTTATGAGGCAGGGTCTCTCATTTGAGCCCAGAACTCATGGATTAGCTAGTCTAGCTAGCCAGCTTGGCCTGGAGAGCCCATGTCTCTGCCTCCCTAGGGCTGAGGGTGAGGACTCTGGAGTAAACCACAGAGAGAAATGAAGAGTGTTCTGTTTCAGACCTGCACACCTACCCCGGTGCAGCGTGCACCCTACAAGGGAGAAGTCTTCAAAGTGAAATCCAGAGAGACGGAAGAGGATGACAGAGCTGGGACTAGGGTGCAGGGCCACTCTTGATCCGGGTGCTGTGGTTCAGCAAGTACAAAGTAAGTGTTCCCCAGTAAGTATCAACCAACAGATGATTACCTGATGGGGGAGGTCCTTCTGTAGGCTGTGAATATGTGTTTCTCTTATTGGTTGATAAATAAAGCTGTTTTGGCCAATGGACAGGCAAGGTGTATCCAGGCAGGAGGCAAGATGTATCCAGGCAGGAAATCCAAACAGGGATAGAGAAAAGCAGTAGGCTAGTCAGGGAGACACTGTGTAGCAGCTGTGGAAGAAAGAGGTCTGGGTATCATCGTGTAAGCTAAGACCACATGGAGATACACAAGGGCTAATTAAGAGAGAGCTTGCTAACAAGAAGCCTGAGCCATTGGCCAAGCAGTTTATAATTATTATAAGCCTCTGTGTGTTTATTTGGGACTGAACGGCCACAGGACTAGGCAGGACAGAAACTTCCATCTACAGTTACCTCCACATAAACATCAAGTTAGTATCTTTCATCCCAGGCCCATGAAGAGTCTAAAGCTTCAAAGTAGAGGTCACACTGATAAAGGCCTTGATGACTTAGAACATTAGATGTGGATTTTGATTGACAGACCTTGAGCTAGCTAGAGATTCATTCTCTAGAATGTTAGGGAATATTGCAAAGACCCCAGAGATTCTACTCTGAGTGAAAAGCAATAGCCAGTTGCAGGCAGAGAGCCCCACCAGTAGGTCAATATTTAGAAACCAACTAGAACTTTATGTGGGGGAAAAATGAATCTTTGTACTGTGAATGAAGCGATGGACTATGATTTAGAATGCATGAAAAGTGAATAAAATTGAGGAAATAAAGGAAAGTTACGTAACTTTTTTTTTGGCTTGGGAAGTCTTATTGAAAGAAAGGGAATGAGAAAAATGGGGAGGGGAGAGGGAGATCTCTGGGGACAGGAGTGGTGGAAGAGAGAGAGAGATAGAAGGACAAAGAGACTAAAAGACACACAGAGAAAGACAAAGAGAGAGAGAGAGAGAGAGAGAGAGAGAGAGAGAGAGAGAGAGAGAGAGGGTGCAAAAGACCTGTCTGCCTCTTCAGAGGAGCAGTGGAAAGAGAAGAGCGAAAGTTACACAACTTTTTGAGAGACAATTTCCTAGAAGTGTTTGGTAGTGCCCGACACTCAGTTTCTGGGGGCAGTGCAGCCATCACAATACAGAGACATCAAAGGTGGGTCTGTCCTGCGCTGCCTTTGGACATGCGGATCTTTATGATTTGAAACTCCTACTATTTCCATTTTTTCTACAGTTTCTTTTCCCTCCATTGTTTTCTGTTCCTACTCCATTAAAAGACGGTGCTAGAGTGTTTGCATCTCTGTGACGTCACTTCCATTGACTAAATGAAATGTACATTTCCCCCCTTTGGGTGGCTTCCCTAGATTCTGATTATTTGTTAAAACGGTGATGTAGCCATCTGGGAGAGTCTTACCCTAGCCTGTAGGTCGTGGGATAGCAGTTAGTACAGCCCAACACACGATTATAAACAAGCTTAAAAGGTCTTGAGATGCTTTTTGTATTTGTTTTCTTGGTAACTTGATGGTGTGGCTCTCGGTGTAAGCTATAAATGACAAATGTCACAGGGCAAAGTCAAAGGGTCAGACACTACTGTTGTAAGTTGACCCGATCAATGAAGGTATGTGTGTGTCGGCTGGAGCACTGCTGGATGAAGGTCTGTCTTTCTGCATGCTGGGGCATTGCACACACTCACATCTGACAGCCTGTGCTTCCCTGCTTCAACCGTGTGACAGCAGGGATTTGGATAATGAGCACTGTGACACTGCAGGCCTGGCTCCCTCGTGCGGTGTGCGCTCCCATTGTTGGACATTGTCATTTTTTTAACAGCACAAGCCCCGGAGCTTTAGTGTTTCTGTCATTCCCACCTTACTGGAATTATTCTCATGATTCAGAAAGATTATGTTTAAAATTCCGGAGATTAGCGAGAGAAAGAAACAGGCTTGGGTGTGATCACGTGTTCCTTACAGCTTTTGTAGGAATAGGCTTAGTGTTTACTTTGATTAGAACATTTCTTGAATTCAGTCTCTCTTTGTGAGGGAGAATGTTACACTGAGTGCCTTTTATTCTCTTCAAAGGTGAAGCAGAGTAAAGGCCTCCTCCCTGCCATGCTGTCAACCCCTGGAGAAGAGCCTGTTATTTCAACTCCCCAAGATCCTTTAGGAAAAATAATCGCCCTGAGCCTCTTTGATTTTTCTCTCAGAAGCAATAGCTGTCTGTCTCACTGTGCCTTTGTTGCTGCAGAAGATTGAAGGTATAAATGAATGTCCTTGGGGTGGGAAGTCTGCGTGAAGATTCATTGATGACTCTTTTCAAATGTCATCTTGCCTTACACTAGGTTTCTTTCTTTGGGTTTTTAAAGATGACTTTCTTGTGTAAAGGGTTTGTTGTTCTGTATTAATGGCTACATTTGTTTGAAATAGCACTGCGATTTTATATTTGATTACAATTAATAAACACTGGGAGCTTCATTTTGTATTCTGGTATCTGAGTTCCATGTGTCTCCTTCTACCTAGTGGGTGGGACTAGGACCTGGAGGATCTCAGTTCTGAGAGAACATGATTTCTTGAGTTGTCAGTGGCTCCTGTGAGTTAAGTCCCTGGAAGAGTCCCAGGAAATCAAACCAGGTGTTCAACCGTTAAATGAGTCCGAGGCAAACTATCCAATCAAATCACATTGATGGATTCAGGATTTGAGGGGATTAACTGGAATTAGAATCATCTGGAGATATGTTGATCTGTTCCTCTCAAGTGCCTCCTGTGTCTTGGTCCCTTTATGCATCATGGTTGGGCTTCTCTTTCTTCTGAGTAGATAGGCCTAACAGGGTGCCTTTGGATATAACCACACTCCGACATACACTAGCCTACGAGAGGGTGTGTTTGCACATTTAACGGAGGGCAGTGAGGGGCTCAGTTATCATTTGTTCTGAGCATATGGAAGAAAGGATGGTGAGTTGCACCCAAAGAGAAGTCTTCCAGCTCAATCAAACTGCAAGTTCTTTTTTCTCAGGTTAAAAGATATCACAAAATGTTTTATTTATTTTTTTCCTTCCTGCACTCTGCTGGACAATTAGAATACAGAATTCTATGCCGGTGAATAAGTCAGTTGCTTTCTTACCCAGAAGTCAATCCTCACGCACCATTTAACGCTCGCTTGAAATGTCACCTTCTCCCAGAGGCTTTCCAAAGTAGGTTAGGTCCTTCTTTTATGCAGCTCCGACGTCCACACCATCATCGCACCCTGTCTCCTGCAGAATGATACAGTTGCCTCTGTATCTGTGGGTTCTATGCCCATGGATTCAACCAATGGATCTTATTTCTTGTCATGATTCTCCAAACAGTACAGTATCTCAATCTCTATACAGCATTAGGAGGTAAAAGTGATCAAGGGACAGATTCAAGGATAAGGGAGGGTGAGCACACACAGTTTAATGTGGCATGACTTTATATAAGTAATACCAGCATCCTCAGATTTGGGGATCCATACTGTCCTGAAGCCAACTCCCCATGCGTACTCACCGGGGACGGCTATAGCTGCTTGCTTCACTTCCCTGTCCGCTCCAGAAGCTACAGGGTGGGTCTTGTCTGGTTCTCTGGCCACTCCCCCATACCCAGCACAGTGTGATGAGTGGATACTTTTGAATTTTTAAATAAAAGAGGACGTGAAAGAATCTCTGCTAAGTTCTTCAATTGACACAGAGAAGTTAGAGAGTCATAACGCAACAGAAACAAACTCTATAGTTGTTCCTGCCCAGCTCCTCAGGAGAAGAGGGAAGTGACAACACGATTGTTCTACTCCAGCAAAGCCACTGGAAATGCACACGGCATCCCTTTGTAGTTTACAGATTGCCGGTGAGACCAAGCTCCTTTTCCTTACGAAGTTTGATTGATTTTCCCAAACCTCAGTTTCTTCATTTACAAAACAAAAACAAAACAAGAATTTGCCCTCCCAGCAGGGTGTTATGTGATACCCAAGCCCTACTGTCCAGAAAGCCTAGACTGTTGTGTTCTTTCCTTGA